TGACTGAGTTGAGGAGATCAGAATAGGTTTTCTAGTGTGTTCTCGAAAAATTCAGTAAAAAGATACAGATCTTTTAAAACATATATATATATACCCCCATCCGTTCACATCATAAATGTGTAGGTTCCCCAGAACCATACACCCAACCGCACATGCCATTTAGACCCTGAGCACAAAGCCGAGGAGTCTGCAGATAATCTTCCTCCAACAATAAACCCCCAGATAAAACATTTATCCGTCGGTAAACGGAGATATCAGAAATCAAAACATAATTCAGATCAGATATCAGAACAGAATCCAGGTTAGGAATCAGAACAGATTTCAGATCAGATGTCAAAACAGAATTCAAATCAGAAATCAGATAAAATATTCATATAAGTAGGGAACACACCAGAGTTTACAAATATTATTCAAAGGTACTGGATAATCTTAGCAAGTAGAGAAATATGGATCTTCAGTATACCGATAGAATGTCAGAATTTAGAATCACTATTGTAAAAAGTTCAATAACTGACGGAATCATCAGTTATTCAGAATGTGAATTATCAGGATCATATCTTATTCGGACAATTTTCAGAAGTTGTACGTAATCAGAAGGGTATTCAGAATCCTTTGCATCCATGTCAATTGATCGGATAATCGAACAACTTGAGAACGAAGATTCAGAACCTTAACAATCTATGTCGACTGGTCAATTCATTTTCCTTCCAGGGTATTTACCCTTTAATACCACAAATTCTTGTTCATATTTCATTTTCGAAATTAACGTTGAATAAATCTTCTAATGTCTTTATTTCATGTTCACGTTTTCACCATATCATGAAATACTGACGTACTTGATTTTGTAATTCATAATCCATAAGAACATTACATCATATATGTTCATTAACATTTCCAGATTCATCCAACTCACTTATTCAATCCTCAGTCCTTGTGGTTACTTAATTTATTTAGCATTCAAGTCCATTCCAGATACTTCGGGATTTTCCAGAGTAATTCAAGCATTCTTGATTTTTCAGACACATGCTGCACTTCCGTTACATTCAATTTGGTCTTTGTGGCTGATTTGTCGTGCAAACGTCCAATTCTTAGTACTGAATGCGATCCAGAGTTGAACTAAGTTGAATACTTCTAAAATTTATCATCGAGTCAAACTTAAGAAGACGAACACGCATTCCAGTAATATCTATGTCATTCAGGTATTGACATAGCTTTAGGGTTGATCTACTCGCTTAAATTGTGTTCCATTACTTTTAAAGGTAGGCCAATACCTATGCTTATTTGGATTCTTTAATTAATCCAAGACATTTACTTACTTTAGGCCATAAGGGTATTTTGGTAATTTTGATGTTCAGTTTTATTCCATTCATTTCAGAGCTCGAGGATATCCAATCATTCCTTAGCTTGGTGACATTCTTGAGTCATTTCCATTACAGGGGTATTTTGGTCATTTTACAGATCCACGGTATTTCAATCTTTTTCCTCCATTCGGTCTTATTATTTAATTCCAATTTATATCTTTTACTTTAGTCCTTTCAAACAATTCTGACAGCAAAATACCCCATTAAATTATTCTTCAAGTATTTACTCATTATTCGGATATTTTCGAGTCAAGTGTCTTCTCAAATTTTACAAACGGAATATCATGAATTTTCTTGCTAAGTCATGATCTTAACAATCAAATATGTACTTAATCGACTTAAGTACGAATCCTCTAAGTATTTTCTCATTCAGGGTTAACTCAGACTATTCAGCCTCTTAAGGGTATTTCTGTAATTTCTTAACCAGATAATTTCGATATTAGCTTTTAACGAAAATAATATAATTTAGAGATCCTATGATTAATTGCTTTCCCGAACCTTCTCTGATCTTGAAGTGATTCCTTAACAGACTTATAGTATCTTGCATAAACCCTCTTGGTGTTAAAAACCGGTTATCCATAATTTCCAAGTAAAACTAACATTTCCTTATGCACATGAATAGTTTTAGCAGATCAATAATTCTTTTCAGATTTATTAATCTACTTCCAGAGACAATTCTTGTCATTTTCCACCATAAGGGTAATTTCGTAATTTTACCTAATCGAAATATTCTCATAATTTATCATCTAAGTACCTTTAATGAGATAAATTATAATCTACAATCCATGATTGATTCTTTTATCACTTAATTTCAGAACTTGTAATTTAATTCCAACTGTCCTCCAATTTCTTATAATAGTCATCTGAGCCATATTCAGTTATCTATTTTCTACCGTATTCATATCTAGTGTAGATCTTCATTTATTACACATATAAGACCAAACATTTCCATTCATGCATTTACCAATACCAACATGTTCTATAAAGCATAAAGAGGTAGTAAAGTATTACCTCGATTTCCGTGCAATACTGATCGACCATAAAAATTCCATTCGAACGCCTTTGATCTTCAATTCAACTTCCAATAATTCCTCAGATACATATCAACATAAATTATATCAGAAACGGAGCTTAATTACGATAAACGGATCGAATCGGGTGATAAATCAGTGAAAGACGGCTTACCGAGTTCGAATTTGGCGAAACGGACATCGGATTCGGATTCAAGACGTTGAAAGCATAAAATATGACTTTTCGGAAATTTGGAATTTTTGGTCAAAATCAAAGTCAACGGGTTTGACTGACAATTTCGAGGCCTTCGGGTTTGAATTTCGAAAAACGGACAGCGGAATCGGATTTGGAACGTCGAAAAATGTCAGGATAGGTATACTCGGTCGAAGTCAAAGGTCGTTTAATGCCCGATCAAAGCCATTCAAAGTTTTGGTCAACAGTGGTCAACTCCGGTCAACGGTCAACGGGTCAACGGTTAACGGGTCGGTAAACGGGTCGGGTCGGGTCAACGGGTCGGGTCGGGTTGTGACCGGTCAAACCGATCAAAACAGTTCCAAAACCGGTCAAACCGGTCACTTTTCCCTTCCCCACGCGCAGTGGCGGCGCGTGGGGGCGCGTGAACAGTGATAAAATCCCGGAAAAATTTCTAAAAATTATTTTGAGCGATTTCGAGATACTTACAAAGCTCGGTTCACAATTTTGAACGGCGGAGAGCTCGATTTCAACAAATCGGGAAGTTTGACCGGTTCACCTCTTAACGCGCAGCCGCCGTCGGAGAAAAAGGAGAACACCGGTGGACTCGGAACGGCACAAGGAACACGATGGTGTGGGAGGTGTCGTAAACGGATGACCCGATCGTCGTGAATCGATGAAAACCCAACTAAAACCGAGTTATTACCGACGATACTTCCGACTGAAATTCACGACGAACGGCGATGATTCACGACGAAAGGTTTGAGGGGTTTTGTTCCTCGGTTGACAACGAACACGATGGTTGTTTCGGCTTGTCGTTTGGAGGTCGGACGGCGAGTAGATCGGAGTTGGAAGTAGGGAGAACGGGAGAGGAAAACTGGAAAATTTTCCAGAAACATACGGGAGTCTGGGGGTTTATAACATCTCATAATTAAAAATGGCTAAACCAAGAGTTTAGCCACTAAACTTCCTGCACTTCTTAAAACGGTCTATCAACTTTGAAATCTTACAATTTAATCCCTTATTTCTTTCAAAATACCAAATTAAATCCACCAATTTATATTTTCTTAAATTTAGCCCCTAAATTGGGGTGTTACAATACTACATCAATTCATTGAGTTTTCTAATTATTAAAAGTTATAAATTGGTCCCCTAACTATATGATATTATTTTGTTGAGTTCTCTGACTATTAAAAGTTACAAAATGGTCACATGACTATTCATATGTTTTAAACTCGTTATTTTTCGTTAAAAATTGACAGTCGTCTGAGTTGAAAGTTAACTTGTTGATTGTGATATATATGGTAAAAAATGTTCTTTGGTTATAGGCATTGTTTTATGTCAAAAAGTTAACGTCCAGCTCAGACGATAGCAAATTTTTTAACAAAAAAAGGCGAGTTTGGAATGTATGAATAGTCAGGTAACAACTTTATAACTTTTAATAGTTGGGAGACTCAACATAATAATGTCATATAGTCATGGGACCATTTTGTAACTTTTAATATTAGATGGACTCAACAAAGCAACAACTATAGTTAAAGGATCATTTGTACAATTTACCCTTAATTTTATTTTAAGGTAAGTTGTGCGTTTAGTACCTAAACTATCAGTTTTAGTTCACTTTAGTATCTAAACTATCGTTTTTTTCCAAAATCATACATAATGTTTAGTTTTTGTTTCATTTTAGTACCATGTCGTTAAAAACTTAGCGGATGGGCTCGTTGGGTGATGCATCTACAATCATCAACCGTCGCATCCGTCGACCGATGATGTCCAAACTTTCCAGCACACACCTTTTCGACCCCTTAATGTGATTATGGCCTCCTTTTCATTGGAAAGTGTCTCAATATCCCCAAATCGGTGATAGAATCTTCGACTTCTTCATCATTTGATCTCCGTCGTCAACCGTCTGATGGGTCTGAAACTGGACTATGTTGATTAACTCATCATTCTCTCGTGGTCCACTGTTCAGATTGGTTGTTTGTCCACCAGAGCTATACCCCCGTCCATTAAGTTTTGAACGGCGATATACTAAAATGAAATAAAAATTAAACGTTATCCATAGTTTAAAAAAATTAAAAGTTTAGGTACTGAAAAAGACTAAAACTGATAGTTTATGTACTAAATATGTAGTTTACCTTTTATTTTATCAATTATCGGATGGAACCGGTTCAAGTGAGCAGTGGAGTTAAGATCCCCATGATTGATTAATTAATGAAAAAGAATAAAAGCGACGAAATTACAGAAGACAGATACACGAAAAGTGAGCTTATTGATGAAAGTAAGGGGTGTTAGTTACAAATCGGATGCAAAGGGAGTTAGGAAATATTAATGGGCGTTAATTTAGCGTTGAGTGGCGTGTCTCCTTTCATTTACTCCTCTCATCTGCCCCTTCTTCTTCTTCTTCCTTAAATCCCCTCCGCCTCTTTTTCCCTTACAAAAAAAAAAAAAAAAAACTAATCCCATTATTCACCTTCACACAAACAACAATGCCTCCTATCTTCACTGATTTCTCCGCCTCGTGTAACCTCAAGTACGTTAAGCTCGGCTACCAATACCTCGTCAATCACATTCTTGCACTTATTCTTGTCCCCGTCATGGTCGGAGTTGTTGTCGAAGTTGTTCGTTTAGGTCCCGAGGAGATTGTTAATCTCTGGGGTTCACTTCATTTCGATCTTGTTCAGGTTCTGTGTTCTTCTTTTGTCGTCATTTTTGTCGTTACTGTTTACTTCATGTCCAAGCCGAGAAGTATTTACCTTGTGGATTACTCATGTTACAAGCCTCCGGTGACTTGTCGGGTTCCTTTCGCCACTTTCATGGAGCATTCGAGGTTGAACTTGAGGAATAACCCGAAGAGCGTTGAGTTTCAGATGAGGATTCTTGAAAGGTCTGGTCTTGGTGAGGAGACTTGTTTGCCCCCGGCGATTCATTATATTCCGCCGACTCCGACGATGGAGGCTGCGAGAGGGGAGGCGGAGCTTGTTATATTCTCAGCTATGGATTCTTTGTTTATAAAAACGGGGTTGAAACCTAAAGATATCGATATTCTCATCGTGAATTGTAGTCTGTTTTCTCCGACGCCGTCTTTGTCCGCCATGGTGATCAACAAGTACAAGCTGAGGAGTAATATAAAGAGCTTTAATCTTTCGGGAATGGGGTGCAGCGCTGGGCTGATCTCGATCGATTTAGCTCGCGATCTTCTTCAAGTGCACCCGAATTCTAATGCGGTGGTTGTCAGCACCGAGATCATCACTCCGAACTACTACCAAGGGAAGGAAAGAGCCATGCTTCTTCCTAACTGCCTGTTCCGCATGGGTGCCGCCGCCATCCTCTTGTCGAACCGCCGTTCTGAGAGGTGGCGAGCCAAGTATCGTCTCGTCCACGTCGTTCGAACACACAAAGGCGCCGACGATAAGGCCTATCGATGTGTTTTCGAAGAGGAAGACAAAGAAGGAAACGTCGGGATATCATTGTCCAAAGATCTCATGGCCATTGCAGGTGACGCTTTGAAATCCAACATCACCACTATCGGCCCTTTGGTCCTTCCGGCATCGGAGCAAATCCTCTTCCTTTTAACGCTCATCGGACGTAAGATCTTTAACCCGAAGTGGAAACCTTACATTCCCGATTTCAAGCAAGCGTTCGAACACTTCTGCATCCACGCCGGTGGCCGGGCAGTCATCGACGAACTCCAAAAGAACCTGCAACTCTCCCCCGAGCACGTCGAGGCATCGAGGATGACATTGCACAGGTTCGGTAACACGTCGTCGTCGTCATTATGGTACGAGATGAGCTACATCGAGTCGAAGGGCCGGATGAAAAGAGGCGACCGGGTGTGGCAGATCGCATTCGGGAGCGGATTCAAGTGTAACAGCGCCGTATGGAAGTGCAACCGGACCATCAAGACCCCAACAGACGGACCATGGGCGGATTGCATCGAAAGGTACCCGGTTCACATCCCTGAAGTCGTCAAGCTCTAGGGCTAAAACAACAACAACACATGGGGCTGAATTTACGCATATTAATTTCTCCTGTTAACCTCATTTACACATTCGTTTCTTTCTTGAGTTTGCAATTTGCATATATACCTGATATCATTGCACCTTTCGTGTGTATTAATTAATGTATACCTTGTTCGAAAATTTCGTCCTCAAAATAAAACCGGAAAATATTAATGCAGTTTGGTCCAGTTTGGTATCCCTTTGAATGTAGGGTCTGTCCTGATTAATGGCATGTGACCTGTTACTATATATGTAGTTGTCAACCAGTTAATTGGGTGACTCTTTATTTGTTGGGAATTAATATGGTTTTAGGGCATCTAGCTGTAAGTTGTTGATGCCACTGAATGGCTGCCATTAAAGAAAAGCATGAATAAATGGAAATCTAATGTCAATATATATTACAGATTCAGCCATTCAGGCATAGGGTTTGCATATAGTACTCATTAAAATACGGGTACTTGACTGAGATATTAACATCACAATTCATAAAATTTACTTAGTTACACGTTTAGTCGAGCAACAAATTTATTCTTTGCATCAACATTTATTTATTTCTTAACATCATCGGTGATAGAGAGACAAAGAAATAAAAACTTTCAAATGATATTTAACTTTTAATATTTTTATGTATTTATAAAAATAACTAATTTTATTCAAAATATGATATATCTCAAATTATAATAAATATTTACAATTACAATCGTAAATTAAGTACATAATTAGGAAAATTTTCATATAATCATTGAAACAAAACTAACAACTTAAGATCACATAAGGATCTTACAAGGAAAGATTAGATCTAACCAAGAAACTCGAACAAAGATAGATATAAACAAATCTCATCTCATCGGCAAACGAACCACAAAAAGATATCAAACTATTGAAAGACCACTGACGAACCGCAAATCAGACTCGAGCGACGTAAAAAGCTATCCACGAACGCAAATCGGGTATCCAAATCCAATCCGAGGGTCCAAAGCAGGGAATATCAACAAGATATCATATAAGCGACATCTTGATCAGTCGCGACGATGCCAAATAAACCCTTAGTAAAAAAAATAAACGAAAAAATAGCCAAAGAACCGAAAAACATGCCAAAAAACATAAGAAAACGTGTCATAAAGTCAAATGAAAGCGTGTAACACAATCTGACTTATTGAAAAATCGAAAAACAAAAGAAAATAAAGATATGATACAGAGAAGAAAAAAGATAATAAAGAATACATGCGGTTGACAACCAACATTAAAGTCGGTGTTGCCGCCGATCAACAAAAACGAAAAAGAAAAGAAATGAGCGGCACACAAACGAGAGAAAACTAGGTTTTTTTTCTATTTTTATTTGACCATTTTGAAAGGTTAGGCTATAATTTTTTTTTTATATTTTTAAACAAAAAATTTTAATTATATAATTTCAAAGTAAAATTCACATCTTTATATTTTTAAACGAAATTTATGAAAAAAATCAAGTAATATAAAAAATATTTTAATATTCTAAACAAAATAAGTATAATATTTTTATATGAGCATAAGATAACTAAACATAAATAACTAAACCAAGGAAAAAAATTAAAATAGATTAACGGGAAAAATAACTAAAAAAATTCTAATATTAAACTAAATCAATTAAACTTTAAAACAATTAAAAATAATATAAAAACACACCAAAAAGAAATTCTAACAATTAAAATATTTTATTTAAAAATATAAGATATTTTTATTTTTATATTACTTGATTTCTTCCATAAATTTCATTTAAAAATATTAAATTTACTTTAAAATTATAGAAATATTAAACTTATTTTTGTTTAAACATATAAAAATATTAAAAGTTAAATATCATTGGAATGTTTTTATTTCTTTGTCTCTATATCATTAATAATGTTAAGAAATAAATAAATGTTGCTGTAAATATTATACCAATTGATATAATGTATAAGTAATATATAATTATGTCAATTTTATAAATTGTCACATCATTATTTCCGTCAAATATTAACGGTTAGTTGCTCGATTAGATATAAATAGTAAGGTGGTAGCACGAACCAATTAACCTCCGTGGTAAAGGATGTGTTATTATTCTTTAATAACCTGAGTTCGAGCATTGTGAATGCATGGTGTGGGAGCGTTCGATCTCAAAAAGGTTGAAAATTATCTTTGAATAAATACTGCTTTATACTTTAATTAGATTAATAAAAAAATAGTAAATAGTCTAATTGACAAAAATGAAAGATTAGTAATAAAAGTAAAATAACTAAATAATTAAGTGTTGAGTTGCATAGTTTACCCTTAAAAACCACATCCATTTACGTTTTGCATGCTTCGAGAAAGTCCGGAAGCTACCCAATTCATGCTACCAGCATGGCTTGTTCGAGCAATTAAGAAAAAGGAACCACCCAATGCCCACCTATGGCGACCTACCCCATTAAAGAAGATGGCAGCTTGTCTTAAATTTTTGGGACCTATTCATTCTTCGTTTGATCACCATCCTTTGACCTAAGAGTCGTTTTTTTGGTTGCCCTCCAGATCCAAGGCTTCATCTTAATTAATTTGGATCGATCCGGATCGTACAACTGATTTTGATGGGTGAGTCTCACAGCAGGAATTTTCTGCATACATAAGGACTCGATTAAGAGACCTTACTTAAGCAATATCAAATTGTTTATCATTTGAACCAACTCCGTTGGTTGACCTAAGAGTCGTTTATTGAGTTTTAAATGCTCCTCGCATGCAAATATTACTGCTGCTTTCCATGAAACTCAGATGGCGTGTATCGTTTTTGTTATGTAGTTTCCAAACTTAATAAGGAACTTATTAACCAATAAGTGTCCTACAAAATGTTGCGATGACCCTCTAGAATCATAAATGGAATAACGAGAAAGAATAATACTAGTTTCCGGTGGTCTGATTTTAAGCTTGTTGGAATTATGCATTTTGACTAATTCTATTTGTTAAGAAGTCCGATCTACATTCACCGTATCAAATGTTGATGAACAATGGATGAAGTGGCAGTTTACGGCGGTTTAGACGGTCGTTAACTTTAGATGAATGATTTATTCTTTTTGATTTAGACAGAGAATCATTATCAATAAGGAGGGAGCTGGTTAGGGATGGCAACGGGCCGGGTTCGGGCCGGGTATTGGTCCCCCGTCCCCGTCCCCGTTTAAAAAACCGATATCCGTCCCCGTTTAAAAAACCGCGGGGATTTAAACGGGGATCCCCGTCGGGTAATTGGGAAAAACCGCGGGGAAACGGGTATCCCCGTTTAGCATAAACGGTTATTTAAACGAGTATTGGGCCGGGTATTGGGTTGGGTATTGGGCCGAGAATCGGGCCGGGTATATATATATATATTTAAATTAAATATATAAATATATATTTTTTATTTAAATTAAATTTATTAATATTATATATATATATAAATAATTATTTTTAATATTTATCGGGTCGGGTATCGGGGCGGGTAATCGGGGCGGGGATTACCAAACCCGTCCCCGTCCCCGTCCCCGTCCCCGTTTAAAATAAATGGGTTTTCCCTGTCCCCGTCCCCGTCTCCGTTTATCATCCCCGAACCCGACCCATTTAATTCGATTTTCGGTTTTCCCCGTCGAGTTCAGGTTTTTTTGCCATCCCTAGAGCTGGTTATAACTTAGGCAACTGTTTAATGATCATTTTGTTCATTTCTTTTCTATCTTTATGTGATCTCCAAACACCCCTACACAAACCCCCCAAACTTTTATTATTAAAAGATATATAAAGATAAATATCTATTTAGACCCTCAAGTTTTGATTTATTTTGATTTTATTCTTTCCGTTTTTATTGTCAAATATACTTTATTATCTTGAACTAGAATTCTGAATCCATCCCTAATTAATTACATCATATTTTTGAAGCTCATAAATAATAATCAAAACAAGATTTTTCTTGTGTGTTTGATTTTTAGGCATTTAAGATCACATCTCCACATCACCCTGTCCAATTTACCTTAATCCCATCAACTTGCGTGCTGAAAGACCTAAACCCACAAGTAAACCCTGTTTTTTTCCACAGATGTACCAAGAACAGTCTTGGTCGTGCTAGACTTGACATAAACTGTTGTGTGTCGGTTTATGAATTAAATAAGTGTTAATTATACCAACAACCAGTTCGTCTAGTTGGATGAAGCATTAGGTTCCTTAAGCAATGTCAGAGGTTCGAATTATAGCGTTTGCAAATGAAACAAACTGGGTTGAGAGGGTCGTCTTTACCTCTGCAATACTCGATCTGGATTAGTCGGTTAATAGATCGGTTACCAATGATTAATTCAAAAAAAATGTTAATTATAAATTTTAATTTGTGGCTTGTATTTTTTTTGGTATTATGTGTCTAGAAGCTTTTGTTTATTCCTTTAAGTGATCGGTATTGAAAACAATAATCATGTAAAATAAAATATCAATAATTATGTGTGTGAACGAGTTATTTACTTTTATACGTATAAAGCTTGTCTTTTTATTACACATCAGAAACGACGACGTTTAGCCTATCTTCTAACACAACCTTCTCCTACTTTATCTGCTTGAGACAGACTCTCGAGCTCCTCTGGTTAGGCCATTGAACGAACCGAACGAACACGAACGAGAGTATGTTCATGTTCGTTCGTTTCACTTTAACCGAACAAATAAACGAACACGAACATAAACGAACAAAAAAGTTATTGTTCTTGTTCGTTCGTTAAGGAATGTAGCTTGTTTGTGTTCGTTCATTGTTCGTGTTCGTTCATTTAAATGATAAACGAACACAAATGAACAAACATAAACGAACACAATAAACAAAGTTAAAAGAACATAAACGAACGAACGTAAACTAAAATAAATGAAAATATTTTGTCTTCTTTCCTAACAGTTTTAGGATTATATTATATTTAATTATTTTGGGATTTTTATGTATTTAAAATTAATTTAATTTTAAAATATTTATGGCTATCAGATTAAAATTTTTAGGGATTTAACATTTTAAATGGGTCCAGAGAGATTAGACTAAACATAAATGAACGTACATAAACAAACATATTATCGAATGTTCATGAACGTAAATGAACGAACGAGCACTCTGTTCGTGTTCGTTCATTTAATTAAGCGAACATAAAATCTTGTTTATGTTCGTTCGTTTAATAAATAAACGAACATAAACGAACTTTCCGTCAAATGGTTCACGAACGATTCACTGAACGTTCGGTTGGTTTACAAGCCTACCTCTGGTGGGTTAACAAGGATATGGACTCCTCCCTCTTTCCAAGTGTGTCTGATTTCGGCAATCCATCTTATTAAAATATTTATAAAAAAACACACACACACAAATTAAATCAAGTGAAGGTTATTACTAATTTATTACACAAATTTATGTGTTTTATTTTAATTTTCATTTTTATAATTGAATTTGAATCTTTTTATTTGAGTTTGTATATTGGATAGTTATTTGAGTGTGTTCTGAAATTGGCTTGATACAAAAATAAGTGCCTAAACTACATCTCAAACTACGATTTGATGCCTAAAGAATTTTTCGTGAAAAGTAGGTGTCTAATATTTCCAACGTTACACTTTTAGGTGTCTGGGTGTTAACTGTCGTTAAAAATCTCCGTTGAGTGATACGTGTCACGTTCTGGTAATTTTGAGCATTTTTATTTAAAATAAAAAATAAAAACATATTTTTTCCAAAAGAACTAATTTTTTTCAGATCTTGAAAAAAATCAAAACTTTTAAAACCTTAATTTTAATCTCTTTGCCACCGCCACCACCAACACCATCAATCGACTAAACACCCAACGACGTGTGATCGACCAAAACCTCCATACTTTCGCAACTGATTGAACATTAAAAATGATATAAATGAATGATTTTGTTTTAGGGTTTCATATCCCTAAAAATCCATTTGATCATGCTAATCGGTCGTTTGATCGGATGTGACAGTTGGTTGTTTGCTGTTTGGTCAGTTGTTGTTGTTGACCGTGGCAATCTACCATGGCAATTGACCTTTGGCCGTTTGCAAGGGAGGAGAACATGAGGGGGAGAGAAGGGAGATGGGGTTTTTTAATAAAAAAATTTATTATAAAAAATTAAAAAAATATAATGGTAGACACTCAAAAGTACAATTAAAAACCTTCAGACGTCTATTTTTAACAAAAAAAATCTTTAAAAATCAAATTATATTTCGAGATATAATTTGCTGTCTTTAATGTATTCGACTTGACAGCACTAAACCAGAAGGTAATTACAGCAATCTTCACTGATTTTCATGCTCAAACATTGTTATTCATTAGTCATCTTTGATTTTAGTGAAATGAAAACGACGGGTATAATCCGTGTAAACTTTTTAGAGGGTAAAGAACACAAATAGTCTACCATCTATATGATTTGTTTTTGTTGAGTTCCTAAACTATTAACAGTTATGAAATGATCTCTTGTTTATAGGGTATTGTTTTGTTGAGTCTCGTAACTATTAAAAGTTATAAAATAGTCCATTTTCTATTAAAAAATTGACGGTATTATGGGTTTGACGTTAACTTGTTGATTGTGATATGATAAAAGTTGATTCCAAAATTTCAAACGAATAAACTATCTCATTCAATATGCTAACGTCCAGCTCAGACTGTCATCAATTTTTTTTAACAAAAAATGATGAGTTTGTAACATATGATTAGTCGGGTGACCATTTGTAACTTTTAATCATCAAGGGACTCAACAAAGCAATGTTCTATAGTTAGGGGACCATTTTGTAACTTTTAATAATCAAATGACTCAACAAAGCAATATCATATAATCGGAGAGCATTTGTGTACTTTTTTTAATAGTTTGGGTTAATTAAAATATAATATATATTAAAAATATTTCTTAACCATCGACAATATATACATATTCTGCTCGATTCCAAAACCTCTTCGGAGAATAATACTATTCTTGATCCGAGGTCACTTGATAGGTTATAATCCATGTAAACATAAGTGTGAAGATTACACTGGTTTGCATGACCCTGTTGCAGTGAGATACAAAAGTACTGAGACACAAGAACCAAAGCATCAAGAAAGTGAAAACGGATATGGCAAGAACGCAAAGAGGGGACCATCATAAAGGGATCCGATTACTCGCAACAAGAGGTACAATGCAACTGTTAGACTGACTCAGAAACAAAACTGTCTCATTCAAAACCCTAGCAGAAGGAAAGAGAAAAGATTGGCAAAGAAACAGTAGGATGGGTTCAAATGACTCATTCCCACGTCCTTGGTGCTTCGGACCCACAGGAAATCCCCTCGATCAGAGATGTAGCCAATGAGAATGCAGAGATTAAGATCAACTTTACAGCATCGACCAATGGGAATCCAGATAAGGCCTGTTGAATGGACCCAAAAGTGCATGGAATGGCCTTTAAAAATGCTGTAAAACAGTAGTTTGTGGGTCACATATACAAATAATTGTACCACTCTAAGGTCTCTGCAGATAAAGCATCGATTCAACATTTCCCTGTTGATGTTTGAATCCCCAGTTTTCCTTTTCTTTTGTGTTTGATTTGAAGTAGGGTAAGCGGGGTTTTTTAGTTGGGTTCCGATGTTATCTACCAAGAAGAAGATGGACAACGCCGTTGGTGCCAGACACGTTAGAGCTTGTGATAGCTGTATAAAGAGAAGGGCTCGATGGTACTGTGCTCCCGACGATGCTTTCCTTTGCCAAGCCTGCGATTCCTCGGTTCATTCGGCGAATCCGCTTGCTCGTAGACATACACGAGTTCTCCTGAAAACCGCTTCGTACAAGTCATCGGAGAGCTTTTCGCCGTCTTGGGATCGAGGGTTTACTAAAAAGGCAAGGACGAAGCGACCCCTGAAGGGCTCCAAAAGGAAGAACGACCCCGTTTCTATCGTGCCGGAAATCGGTGTCGATGAGATATCGCATGAAGAGAATGAAGAGGAGCAGTTGCTCTATAGGGTGCCGATATTTGATCCCTTTGTTGCCGAATTATGCACTTCCACGACGTCAAACGAAGCTGCCACTGCGACCGAGTCTAAAGCTTTATTGGCTGATGGTTCGCATTGGTTTTTCCCTTCCGAGATGGATCTTGCAGAGTTTGCCGCCGATGTTGATAGCTTGCTCGGTAAGGGTCTCGAGAACGTGTCCTTCGCAATGAAGGAGGTGGGCCTAATCGACTCCAAAGAGGACTTTAGAGACTGTTCAATGGTAAACGGTAAAGTGAAGGTTGAAGATGAAGAGAGTTTCGAACCGTTTGAGTTAAGCTTTAACTATGATTCCCCGGCAACCTGCGGCCGAGAGGATGAGTTTGTAAAGGAAGATGTAAAGAAGAGTAAAGGGGGAGTGGAATACGAAGAGAATACAGCAAAAACGAAGAAGAAGAAACCATTTTTGAGCTTAGATTATGAAGCAATCATCTCTTCCTGGGCAACCCAAGGCTCCCCGTGGACGTCCGGTGGCCGACCAGATTTTAACCCCAACGAATGCTGGACCGATTGCATGGTAAGTAAGCTTAAGCTTTCTACTTTACGCCCTACATGTACCTGTGTTTACAATGAATTTGGCTACAAATTTGCAGGGAAATGAAGGAGAAGAAGCTCGCCATAGCTATGGTGGTTTGATTTGCATGGGAGGACAAATTCTGACAATGGGAGATGGAGGAAGAGAAGCAAGAGTGTCGAGATACAGAGAGAAAAGAAGGACGAGGTTGTTCTCGAAGAGAATAAGGTACGAGGTTCGGAAACTGAATGCTGAGAAGAGGCCTCGAATGAAAGGGAGGTTCGTGAAGAGGGCATCGTTCCCACAGTACTAAATTGCAGTCGTAACACCACCGTAACACTTCTAATTGTGATATCACGATCCTAATCGTGACTACAACTGCAATTTAATACTATAATCCTTTCTTGCTGGACCTGGTTTTCCATTGCACAACAAGTAGCTGCTGTTTTCTTGAACCATTCGGTTCCTTTTCGAACTCAGCGCCAGTGAGACTAATTACTGGTTAGTTCTTCCTGGTGTTTAGGCCTCTAATGTTCTTCAAGTTTGAATAAATTTAATAAATGACTTGTGAGTTGCTTAGGGTTTTTCTTTTCTTTTCTTTTCTTTTCTTTTTATTCTCTCAGATTTTCTTCTGTTTATTTCTGGAATCTGGGGAATTATAGAAAAGAAAATTGTATGTAGAAAATTTGGTCGTTGTATGATTATCTTAGCATTACCCTGTACAAAGCTTGGATTGAAAAGGCTTTTCTGTTTGAAAATTTTGATATCCAACTGTTTGTGTGGTTTCACTTTGATGAACTAACTTATTTTCTCTTCGTAATTATATCTAACGTTAAGTTTTGAATCTCTATGCGTACGTTCAAGTTGTTTCATATATATATATATATACTTCCCACACTTGCTATCCCACCATTTTGTGGTATAAACTCTCTATTTTCCTCAACATAATTCACAAGTAGTTTATTTTGAGTATCGATTGCTCATTCTTCACTTCACCGGTCCGAGCATTCATGATATACCATTGTGAAGGTCTCGTGGAGTAAAATATAAAATCTTAATTTTATGATTTGAATCTTCCCCTTTACCTATTGAAAATATGCCTCAAAGTGTTCAAGAATCATTTTTCCCAATAGAGTCGCCCAGATTCAGAAGTTGTCTTATGAATTCTCGACTTACAATAATCTTAATCCATTTTATCTATTTATAAGATCAGTTACTTGATGGTAAAGAAATCTAATCTTAAATGAGTTTTTTTTCCCTCTATGAAACTCTTCTAATCTTGTACGACTCAAGGGCATCCGTATCTACCACATATCTTTTTTTTCTTCGATTTTATTTTTTTTATCACGGAGACAGCGCCAAAAACTTTTAAAATAAACCCACAAAATTTATTAATTAATGTGATAGTTTCTTTTTCTTAAAATTGGTATTTTAGTTTTTTTTAATAGTCCGAGGTGATTAAAAGATAATATATGTTTAGAATTTTATTAAACGTATTGACAAGACAAATACATTCTATAAACACAATTATTTGCACTCAAAATCTCTAAAGAAAATAATTTTTCATTTTACTACTGTTGTCACTCGATGAATTATATTTTAATTTCCTTGTCGGTAAAAAAATCAAATATCTTTAAGATAAAATGTCTTTGTATTCTCTTATACAGTTCTTAATATATATATATATATATATAGTAGAATGTTGCATATGATAAGGTAGTTGCCCATAACATGGTGTCGAGAGCATGAAAGCAACTCCCACTTGTGATGACTTTAGGGGAACCTTTCCATTTCAGAAAGGTTATAGTTCTCTCATTTATGTGTGTAAATATCATTACTCTAAAATCTTTTTATTTTATTTTCTCTTACCAACAACTAAATATCATAGAATATCATATATTCAAACTATTTCAATTCACGATCTTTAAAATATCACGTCAACAATGATACTAATTAAATTAAAATTCAATAAACATATATTCTTCTTTATATTATTACTTTAAAAACTATAAGCGATCAAAATTTAAAAAGAAAATTTAAGAATGAGATGATATACTAAATCTTTTTCGGTTTCACTATCAAGATAGGAAAAATGGGTTCATTGAAGGGGAAATTTGATGGCAATAGTGGGGCACAATTTAAATTTAAATCTTGGCATTTTCTAAAGGGTTGTGTGACATACATGTAATGGTCCCATATTGGATGGTGCCATTTTTGGCTACCAAATAGTGCATTGCCACCCGCCAAGTCTACCATTTCTACATCACATTTTTATATTTCTTTAACATAGAAAACCTTTAAAAAGTTACTTAGATGATTTTATCATGAGGTCACTAAATGAGTTCAAGATAATTGTATTTAAATGCACTTAAACCCATAACTTTCTAGATATTACTACATCAACAGTTATAATCGAACTATACTGAATGGACTAAAAGTTATTTTTTTTTATTAATCTGGGATGATTATAAGTGATAGTATTTGTTCTAGGAACTCTCAATCGTTTGACAATGAATGTTCAAATACCCTGTAATTAGGGATGGCAAACGGGTACAATTTCGTGGATTTCGCACCGTACCCGCTCCAATTGGGGCGGGGATGGGTATAACTTTAGTGGGTAGTGGGCGGGTGTGGATTTAGAAAGTGGTACTCGTCGCGGGTAGTGGGCGGGTGATGGGTTTGAGACATTACTTTCCCCACATCCGCCCACCCCACATCCGCCCGCCCACTAAATACCCATTAAATTTTGGACCATTCTGAATTTATGTATAATTTTAGAGACTAATTTATAAATCTGAATATTGAATAAGATATAACTTATAATTTATGTACTTTAAGATCTATGTTAATACTTAACTCAGATAATCATTGGTTTATTTTATTATGCTTCTTAATGGACGTGTTTGTTTTATGTTTGTTGCTTATGTATAACTTACGGTTACTGTCAGGCGGGTTTAGCCGGGCACGTTTCCAGTTGGGTAGTGAGTGTGGGGATGGATTTGAGAATGTACCCGCATGGGCAGGTGTGTATTTGAAAAATTTTACCCATCATGTGTGGTGGGTGGGTGGTGGATTTGAAAATATTAGGTGAGTATGGGGATGGGGGAGGAGGTATCCGCACCCGATCCGCCCGTTTGCCATCCCTACATATAATCATTAGTGGTCGAATCTATATAACAACCATCTTTTTAATCATTAACGTAATTTGATTTGTGTAAAAATTATCCTTTCTTAATTGCTAAAGATAGTGTAAAGAGAAAAGAAAATAAAAAGTTACCCTTTAAGAAGAAATCATACCTCCCAATCCTCCCATGAATTTCCCTTGCTCCACATATGTTGAAGGAAATGTCACTTTTATCCTTTCAAAGGCAAAAGTGAGGGCCATAGCTTTGATTGCTAAAAGGGTTGGTATTAATTACATTGTGTCATTTCCTACCATGTTCTCCTCAGTAAATGACAAACCCTAAAAATTCAACTTTTGCTAAACTTATCCGGATAAGGTATGGAAAATAATATTTGATTAAATTTATATTTAATTAGAAAAACCATGAATTTTATCATTTTATTTAGATAATTTTTGTACTTCTTGTGTGTCTCAGTAAGTACTTTTTAATACTTTGTACTATGATAATACCTTAATATTTAATTGATTTTCAAATAAACTCCAACTTTAACTTATACAATCAACATTAAGATAATTAAATCTTTAACCTTAAATAAATGTTTATTTATGTACAAACCAAATGATAAAATCTTATTTAGGGGTAAAAATATATAAAATTTATCTAAATAAAGTAATAATATATGAGTTAGGATTAACTCAAATCTAATGATTTTTTATTTTATTTTATACCTTTTTAAGATTGTTTTATGAATCCTCCTTTTTTCTCCCTTTTTTTTTTACAATTTGTATTATTTTTTATAGATCAAATTAATTTTTTTATTTTGTTTAACCGACGACGGTATCGATTTTGATGTTAGTTGTCAAACGTTGGTTGTCTTTTAATTTTTTTAGTTTTTTAATAAGAATAAAGTTGTCTTTGTGACACATTCATCTGTCTTTGTGGCACGTTTATATCTGCCTTTTGGTAGTTTTCGGTTGTTTGGTTGTTATTTTTGTTTATATTTTTCTCAGGGCTGGGTTTGACATCGCCACGACTCATCAAGATAGCGCTTATTTGTTATCATGTTAATCTTCCATGCTTTGGACCCTTGGATTGATTTGGATACGCGTTTTGTGTTTGTGGATAGTTTTCTCACGTCGCTTGACTTTGATTTACGATTTGTCGGTTGTCTTTTAATAGCTTCATCCCCTTTTGTGGTCCGTTTACCGATGCAGTCAGATTTGTTCGTATCTTTATTTTGTTCGAGCTTTTTGGTTAGATTTTTTAACCTTTTCATTATTTGGTCCTTGTGTGATCTAGGTGGCTAGTTTTTGTGTCAATGGTTATAGGAAAATGTCCTAATTATAATTTAGTTTACGGTTATGTTTGTAAACCTTCATCGTAATTATGAATATTTTCGATTTTTAATAAAACTAACGACTTTCTATATATAAAAAAAGATTATTTTATGAATAGAAATAAATGAATTAGATTGTCTTTTCTTCAATGAATATATTTTCCTTCTCTACTTGTTGATGTACGTAGTTTATTTCTACTCATTCAATAATCTTAAAGAAATATAAAACTAAAAAATTTTATACTGATCTTAATACACGGGAAAAGGGTAATGGTAATTTTAAATATGAATTATCCTTTTATATCATTATAATAGAAATAAAATTTTATACGTAGTTCCTTTGAAAATACAGGAAAAGGGTGAAATGGTAGAAAGAAAGAAAATTGATTTTAATACACGGGCTGAGGCAAATCGTGCATGTTAAGAGGCTTCATGTGTATTGTCTATGGATGGGTAATGGGCTTCATTCTTCATGGACTATACAAATCTTCAAGGACCTTACAAGTGTACATTATTTATCTAATCGTATCTGAATTATATATATATATATATATAGGGGTATGATTCACTTACACTTGGTATAAAATTAAGAGCTTTACATTTTTGAAGGACCGTTGGATGACGAATATCAAATGTTAAGATTAACGATAGGAAATGAAAAGATAAAAAACAAAAAGTTAATCTCGTCCTTTGACTTCCCTCGTTCAACCGTCATAAAAAATGTAAAACTCTTAATTTTATATTAAGTGTAACTGAAACCTAACCCTATATATATATATATATATAGACTATACAAATCTTCAAGGACCTTACAAGTGTACATTATTTATCTAATCGTATCTGAATTATATATATATAGAGGTATGATTCACTTACACTTGGTATAAAATTAAGAGCTTTACATTTTTTAAGGATTGTTGGATGATGAATATCTAATGTTAAGATTAACGATAGGAAATGAAAAGATAAAAAGCAAAAAGTTAATCTCGTCTTTTGACTTCCCTCGTTCAACAGTCATAAAAAATATAAAACTCTTAATTTTACACTAGGTGTAACTGGAACCTAACCCTATATATATATATATATAGACTATACAAATCTTCAAGGACCTTACAAGTGTACATTATTTATCTAATCGTATCTGAATTATATATAGAGAGAGAGGTATGATTCACTTACACTTGGTATAAAATTAAGAGCTTTACATTTTTTAAGGACTGTTGGATGATGAATATCTAATGTTAAGATTAACGATAGGAAATGAAAAGATAAAAAGCAAAAAGTTAATCTCGTCCTTTGACTTCCCTTGTTCAACAGTCATAAAAAATGTAAAACTC